ATGAGCTTGTGAGAAACATGTATTCTCATTTGAATATAATTATCAATGAGCTCAACTCCATCGATTTGACAAAGCTCGAAGATGCGAACATTGTGAGGAAGATCATCTCAGTGCTACCGCGTGACAAATATGCATCAATCATCAGCATCCTCCACAACATGGAAGACTAGTACAATGACCCTGGCGCTTATCATTGGCAAGTTAGTGGCATTTGAGATGTCATAAAAGATGGATCAAGAAGAAACCGTGTCATCAAGCAAAAGCATAGCTCTCACATGTGATGTGCACAAGAAAATGAAGGGAAAGAAGCAAGTCGAAACAAGCTTAAGTTCAAGTGAAGATGAAGATGATGATGACGATGACGATGACGATGATGACGATGATGAAGAAGAAAGTGATGATCAAGCCTCCACCTCCTCCTCCGATGATGAAGAAGAAGTCATGCAATTGATAGGAGTGAAGAGGATGCTTTGCAAGATGAGAGCCAAGGGTGTGCCATCACAATTGAAGATATCATGTTTACCGACCAAAGAACGTCAAGGCAAAGAAAGAATGGATACTTTGGTTGTGGTAAAAAAAAGGGCACTTTGTGGAGGATTGTCCAAACAAGCCCACACCCAAGGCCAAGAAGAAGGCATGCAAGGCCAAAGCTCTTACAACAATCAAAACTTTGGATGATTCTTCAAGTGAATAAGAAATCAAGCATGAGAAGGGCGACCGCAAACCCTCATCATCAAGCTTTTCACACATGTGCCTTATGGCACAAGGCAACATTGACATCTCAAACTCTAGTGAGAGCGATAGTGATGATAAAAACCTTGTTATGAAGATCTCGCTAAAACCTTCATGGTTTTTAAAGAGGTTTGCACTAAGCAAAAGAAACAACTTAAAGAATTAAAATCAAAACTAGCTAGCTCAACATCTACTTATAAAGAATTAGTTGCCAAATTTGAAGTCTTTACAAATTTAAATGTTGAGCTAACTACCAAGATTAACAAACTTGGATCTAGTGCAAACATCGCTCCTGAGGCACCTAAAAAGAAAAACACAATTTTTGACATTCCTAAGAAGGATGCATCTACTTCTTGCATTTATTTAATTGAGTTAGACTTACCCATGTGCAACTAAGCTTGTGTTGAGGATGTTATTACATATTCATGCTCACAAGATATTGCAATGGAAAATGAATACCTCAAGTAAGAAGTGGTTTGCCTCACTTACGACTTGGTCTTAGTGAAAGGCAAGATGGAGCAACTTCAACCTCATCAAGATAACACCGGTCAGGGAGTGAAAAAACTTAATAAGGGTGTCGTGGTGCCAAAAGCTCCTAAGTCTAATGATCTAATTAATGACTCCTAAAAGTCTATGCTCGGAACCAATGGGGAGCCCTGGTCAACGTTGTTTGAGACCGTGTGTGCGCGATGCCACTCGTAATGGTCCACCACAATTAGCGCTACAACTCGCAAATCGTAGATGAGCCTCGCTCGTAAACAATGCAGCTTAGTTGTAGACAGCATGCGGTCTCTGTGACAGCTAAAACTGAAAGCTAGCCTGCCTATCCATTTGGCAAATTTTGAGATAATCTCAACCGTGGCATAGACTACAGTTTAGAGACTTTTAAAATGCGTCTCATTGGTAGAGGCAATCGAAGGCGAATCCTGTTTAGAATTCAGAGACAGTTCAGAGTTCAGGCAGGCGGTCGCTTCGGCAGCCAGGCGTTGCACTTGCCAACAACTAAGCCCTGCCCTGCAAGTCTGCAACGGTGCAACCCAGCGCAGCCATCAATCTCTCTCGGGCTCTCGGCCTGCCTCTCTATTTGTCGCTGGTCTGGTCGCTGGTCGGCCGCCGTCCCTGTCATTGCCACCGCCAAGTCTTCCTTGGCTTGTCCAGGGAAGCAAGAAAGGTCGCGGCAATGGACGACCGGCGTGGGCGCGGCGACGCCATGGGCCAGAGGCCGTTCGCGTCTGCTGCTCAGGGACAGGAAAGGGTGTTCGATGGTGGAGGCGGTGGCGGCGGCTCTGGCCCAGCGTTTGGCGGTGAGTTTGATCAGGGATCGTCCCTCATGGCGCTTCTCGGCGCTGGTGTAGTCAGCTCCCAGCCACCGCCGCCGACGTGGGGCGTCGAGGAGGTGACAGCAGCGCCTGCCATTAACCTGGTGCCTCAATCATTCTCCATGGTAAACTCTGCGTCTTTAATTTATATTCTTTCTTCTCAGTTTGATGTGTGTTCATTGCAAGCTATAGTCAAGTTCCTCTTTGAATCTGAGTTCGTTTATCGTGGTATATGTGTTCATTGACAATCACGGTATTTCTACTGCTATCTTGGTCAAATAACTACGATCAGAACCATGTCTTCTGTCAGATGCAGTTGATTCATATGCTCTTTAATCTATGCTTGCATGCTTCACTGTTACAAAATCTAAAAAATACAATAATGTTCTGGCGTTCTATTCTACCGACTGGCTAGGGATTGATTTGCCCATCATTCGTTGGAGTTTTCTAAAGAATTAGCTGGCCAGCGATACAGCAGGGCTGCAGTTGTACAAGTAATTGATAATGAACAATCAGCTTTGCACGTTCTAGCATTGGATTATTAGTCTACAAATACAAATTAAAGTCTCCAATTAATCTCAGGTTATACTCCTAATTAAATGCCAACTGGTACTTGCGAGAATTTTATCATCCTTCCTTGGTGACTGATGACACAACGTAAACATGCAATTATGAATTATCACATGCATATTGCAGTGCAATTGACAAATGACAATGATACCTCAAAGTTCACAACAAGACTGCATGTTTCCTCTCCATGCAGGCGAACTACGCGCCACCGCCGCCGTCCTACCAGCAACCCACCTCGTTCGCCCCATCGCCGCTGGACGGCAGAATGGATTCCTACCCGCCATACCTTTTCGCGGATCAGCCGCCCCAATGGCCTCCTCCCCGAGCGGCGGCTACTGCTTCCTCCCTGCCGCATTCCAACTTCACCGTCCTCTTCCCCAGGAATCCATATCCATACGACCATGACATGCAGCTGCGAGCGACCGCGCTCTTCAGCGGCAGCGGCGGCTTGCACGCGCACGCCCTGCCGCCGCCGCCACCGGTCATCGAGCAGCCGGCGAAGGACGGTTACAGCTGGCGCAAGTACGGGCAGAAGCAGCTCAAGAACGCCGAGTCGCCGCGGAACTACTACAAGTGCACCCGCGACGGGTGCCCCGTCAAGAAGGTCGTGGAGCGCTCCTTCGACGGGTTCATCAAGGAGATCACCTACAAGGGTCGGCACAACCACCCGCGCCCACAGGAGCGCGGCCTCGCCGGCGGCGGTAACGATGCCCTCGCCGCCGCCGAGGAGGACGTGGACGGTCCCAGCGACGACGACGAAGACGACGCGTTGATGCATGAGAATGACGTCGACGGGGCTCCTGGCATGTGAGTTATGCTCTGCTTCGTGCTACGTTACAACTGTCGCCTGCGGCGCCGCGCAGACAGTGTGAACCGTGACAGGCTGCCGGTTGTTTGGTCAGGGGCGAGGACGGCGTGGCTGGGCAGAGGGTGGTGAAGAAGCCCAAGATCATCCTCCAAACGACGAGCGAGGTGGATCTCCTGGACGACGGCTACCGGTGGCGCAAGTACGGGCAGAAGGTGGTCAAGGGCAACCAGCGGCCGAGGTGAAATTTTCACTTGGACTATCTGATCCTGAACATACCAACCATTGTGAGTTGTGAATTTGTGATGGTGCTCAGTGCATGCTCACTGCTCTGCTCAATGATGTGCAGGAGCTACTACAAGTGCATCGCCGACAATTGCAACGTGCGCAAGCAGATCGAGAGGGCGTCCACCGACCCCAGGTGCGTCCTGACGACGTACACAGGCCGCCACAACCACGATCCGCCGGGACGGGGCAACAAAGCCGCCGCGGGCGGCTCTTCTGCTGATCCGGCCCCTCCATCTACGAACACGGCTAGTGGAAGTGGGGCGTTTCAGGAGAATTGGGGGGCTCGGCAGCTGAAGGAGGAGTTCTAGCCAGGAAATGAATGATTGGCCATTGGCCTCTGTGGAGTGTGGCTTTTCTGGGTGTGAATAATAGAGGCTGGATCATTGATTCTTTTGGGTAGGTGTTTCTGCTGGCTAAGGTCCTGTTTTGTTTCTACATGTGCTCTTAAAATTCTTGTCACATCGAATATTTAGACACATGTATGGAGTATTAAATATAGATTAATTACGAAACTAATTACACAACTTGCGACTAATTTGCGAGACGAATCTTTTAAGCCTAATTAGTTCATGATTTGACAACGTGTTGCTACAGTAAACATATGATGATGACAGATTAATTAGGCTTAAAAAATTGTCTTGCAAATTAGCCTCCATCTATGTAATTGGTTTTGTAATTAATCTATATTTAATGCTCTTTATTAGTATCTAAATATTCGATATGATATGAATTTTAGGAGCGACTAAAGAACCAAACACCCCCTAATTGTTATTTGATTAGATTTCAACTGTTGTAGAGGAGCTGACATGTTGATTTCGGCTAAACATGTGCTTGTGCTGCATGGTATGTACATTTGTTTTCTCTTTATTTATTTCTTGTCCTTTCACATTTTTTTGTTTTTCTCATGGGAAAATTTCTAGCTGAAGAATCGAAGGAACAAGGAAAGAACTCGTGTGGTGATGTAACTGAACCATTAGTAATCATGAACTGAAAACACAGACATGTATTTCGTTAATTTCAAAAATGAAAAGAAAACAGAGACATGTATATACATCTTCAGAGTTCATAATGCAGATTGTTGCAATATCTTTTTTTCCTCCTCTTTTGGGGCAATGATCAACAAGTATTTACACAAATCTATGTGCAGTGTTTCTTAGCTCACAAACTTGAGTTAGTTCCTACAACTATATGCCGATCTATACAACAGCATCTCAACAAGAACATCTACAAACCACACTCTCTTTTGCTTTTCCTGAAAGTTAGTGCCCTACAGTAACATGACAGATTTACTCATCAGCTGCAGTTATCAGCGTCGGTATCTGCCCGTTGTCGGCGAAGTCGATCTTGTTCAGCCTCATGCAGCACAAGACATGCTCTGGCAACTCCTCAGCCTTTTGTGCCTGCAACCAGTATCAGACCATGGCTAAGTTACAGACATTCAGTCAAGGGGTCACTTTTTTTTTTTTTTTTTTTCTTTTTTTGAAACAAATCAAGCGGTCACTTTTTAGCCAGGAGCAGAAGAAAATTAAGTACCTGAATAGTTAGACCAAGATCAAGAACGCCATGCTTGAGCCGCTCCCGGAAGGTCTCGAGCCCTTTCCGCGATATGAAGCTGAACCGATGGACATCGAGATCGATCTCAAAGTAATTTGGACCCTACATTATCAATGAAAACACACACATTTTTTATGTTTCAGTCAGAACTGAAAACACATTTTACTATTTCAGCACTTGTTTGTCTATAAACTAGTGAGCAAATGCAGTCAGTTACCTTGTAGAATTTGTGTTGTGGGCGAGATAGAACAGGCTTTTGATTGTAGGTCTGCACAAGCTTCCTCTCTGCCGTGCTCAGCTGCAGGTCTTCAGGGTTTGCCAAACCAGCCAGGATCTTCAGCCTCTCTGTGTATGGCACAATGCTGTCTACTGGGAATCCCTTCACCTTTTCGGTTTCCTCATTCATAAGCCTCTGCATAACTAGTCAGTCAGAAACTTTGCCTAGAGGTGCTTTATCTATACAAGAGAAATCTACCTTGATGCTATCCTGCAATTGAGGAGAAATCTCCTTGTCAAAGCTGTCAGATAACTTGAAATACAGAACTAGGCTTATCCCATCACCGTCGTTATCGCCAAACACTGTAGCAGGATAGGTGGGTAACTGCACAAACAAGTAAACTTGTCAAGCTCAGAAGCCAGAACTAACCAATTAACAGTCAGTAGTTAAAAAGCAATGATTAAGAACCCTTTACGACCTACTGAATTACCTGAATGTTGACAATGAGGAGAGTAGGAAATGTCTCATGTGTCTTCAGAGACGGAAGCGAGAGGTGCTGTGCAATGTGATGAATCTTCCTTGTGTAGGCGAACATGTCTGCTCCAATAGGGGTGTAAGGGGAGCAGTCTGGAGCTGGGTACTTCCTCTTGTCTCTGCATGAATTTCACAGATTCAGTCAGTCATAATCATGTATGATACTGTCAGAATTGTGTTTACAACACTGCCACTGCTTCTTACTTGAAGAAGCTCTCCCCTCGGACTCTGAACGTCGATGGCTCAAGAACCGACCAGCAACCTTCTGACAGTTTCTCGCCGGTCGAACACGGCACCGTGAAACCTGCCCTTGGGCGGTACAAGTAATTTGCAGAACCACCTGGGATTGCAGAATTTGTCAGCTAAGTAATAATTCAGCTACTGAGCGGCCGCATGAAGATGGCATTGCAATGGCGCAGCTGAGATGTTAACGCTAAGCAACTCACTCATTTCGGTCATCTCGTCGCCCTCATATGACCTTCTCCTGAACGAGAGCCTGACCACGGCTGTTTTCTTCTTCTGCTGCTGATGGTGCGGGCTGACACCAACGATCGGCATCGGCTGGACCTTGTTGCTCGGAATCGACGCCGGGAACGGCGGCCGCGGAGACATTGCAGCCTGAAGTTCCTTCAGTGTGCTACTGCAGCAGTCCTCATCATTGCAGCTACCACTATTAGTTGCAGTGGCAGCAACATTCGAGTCATCACTCTTGTCGGGTTGTTCACTTTGATCACAAGCTTCTGCATTTGCAATGCTCCTGAGGAGCTGCATGGTGTCCAAGAAGCACGCTGCATCCTTGCACTGTGGCGCCTGCGGTGCATTTGAGCCGCCGGTGACGTCAGGGAGAGGATCTGGATTGAAAGGGAACACGTAAGTACAGGAAAGTCTGAAACTGCAGTTCACGTTTTTAGTTTGTGACTATGAACGACAAATATCTGAACTAGTACATTACCTCCGCTGACGCTAGCGAAATCGTTGTCGAGATCGTCGTCGGAGTCCGGTGACTCCAGGATGCTGACAGAATCGTACCATGCTTCTTCGCAAATCACTGCACAAAATTTGCAGAGCTGTGAGGAAATCTGCTACTACTGGTACCAATTACAGAATTCAGGAGGAGGAGGAGGTGCTATGCTGCTGCTATTTACCGCTCCCGGCGTCCATCTGGCTGTGCTGCCACTGCAGGTTGGTGAGGTGCAGGGTGACGTTGGAGTCCGGCGCCTCCACGTAGACGACCCCGTGCCGGCCGCGGATGATGGGAGCGTCGGCGATCGCCGAGGACACCTTCCGCCGGAACTTCCTCGCCGCGACCGACAGTTTCCTCGACCGCCGCCGATGCCTCGTCGACGACACGCAAGAACCCATGGCCGCCGAACTAGGCTACGCACCTGGAACTGGATCGACCACCAAGAAAAAGCAAGTTGCACCTTGCAGAATCAGCAACCTTCAAGAACTGATCAGAGAACGATCACCAAATCATCAAAAGGCATTAGTTACCCTTATCAATCGATCCAGCAACTGACCGGCCTCCAAGTGTCTCCCGCAGACAATGCTAAGAAGAAAGCCTCCTGCTGCGGACTCACGGGCGGCAATTCTGAAGCGGCCAGGCCAGGACTAGGCGAGCGAGCAGACAAGCACCCAGAAGCAACCTGAATTAATCCTCAGCTGCCTCCGATCCCTCTACTTGCAATCCGCGGCAATGACAAATGCGAAGCGGCATCCTCCACGCGAGAATGTGATGTGCGTGCGATTAGAGAAATATAATGGCAACGGGAGGACCCGTGTGTGTGCGCGCGCGCGCGTATGTATGGCGCTGCCGGAAGCGTGTTGATTCCTCTGCTTTTCTGCTCAGCAAAGGCACGGCATATAAATCATCAGAGAGGGGAGGGGGGATCAGTAGGATAAAGAAACGGCCGGGGCCCGGGCCGGGCCGGGTGAGATGATACAGGTCACTGTCACGCGTGTTTGAAGAACCGGTGGAGCCCTAGCCGCCTGCCCCAGCCGCAGCAGGGACTCACTCGATCGCTAAACAATTCAGGCCATGCCCATGGCCATGGGTGAACCGGTGAAGGTTCTAATGGTCTAGTGGAAGTCGCCTTGTATTTTTTTTTCTGGTAGGTTTGTGCGTGCCGGGGGAAGGCAAGGGAATACAGGTTAGGTGACGCAACAACTACTCTGCTCCTCCATCTCCATGTCCATGCTCAAGGTTTCGTTTTCGTGTGGCCAGGTTTGGCAGAGTCAAATGGGCAGTAGAGCAGGTGCATGTATAAACGCCCTGTTCGCTTGGCTTTATGTTCGCGTCTTTTTAAATGAAACGAATATTATTTTTCTCTCACAACAAATAAATTAACAAAGATTTTCACCGGCTTATCATCGTAAGCAGACGAGGCAAAACTTCAAGACCTGGTCACGGAGGAAACCTAATGGATTCAAGCGACAAACTGTGATTGTGGGAGAAAAATATGCAGCTGATTGATACGAGTACATCGTTCTGGGTGACTTGCAAATTTCAGCAAAATATGTACTCCTACTCCGTCAGGGAATAATTTTTTTTTAAAAAAAAACTTGGGATTATTCGTCGTGAGGCTGAGCTGAGGCATCTCCAAAGCTGATCGAGGGACTGAGACTGACGCGGACACCTGAGCAAAACATCACCATCTATAATTGGGGTGCTGCAATATACTACTCCTACTAGTGTTCCTAAAAAGAGCGCCTTTTTTGGAGGCAGACAGCTGCAAGCCAATACCATAACCGAAGAGGGAATTTTTCATTTCATTTCAGCAGATGATTTGCAGGCCAGCTGCTGAAAAGGGCCACCCAACCTGAACCAAGAACCGGAGAGCCGCCACGCCGAAGAACGACGATGCATATCATGCCATGCATGCAACTGGTCAAGACGAGGGCTTTCTTTTTCGAATGGGAAGGGAGAGGGGAGAGCACATCATGATAATGCGACACGTCCCTTTCGTTTTCCTGCTCGGCCTGTCTGTCTGCTGGTGGCGTGCTCACCTTGTAGGGCCACGGCACACTCGAGCTGTGTATTGTCAAATCCAACTCCAGGAAAAAGAATGGAATTTGTGGAAATGGCTGTCTGGTTACGTTTACGTCTCATCTACTTTCAGCAAATGGAATGGACGTACCATCTGTGCGGCTGAAACTTCCAAAGTGGTGCAGTACAGGTCTACTACAAACTACTCCATCAGAAACAGACATGGCAAAAAGATAATCCATGAGTAGTTGAGCGCTAAATTGCTAATGGAATTTAACTAACCTGAGAGGAGAGAAGTGAGCGATAGAAGGTTCGCTCCAATGCAATGTGGCAGAGCAGTGCTGATGGGCGATGAACTTGAACCTGCTCGTGATGATGTTTATAGTGGACTTAGGCCTTGTTTAGATGCCAAAATGTTAGAGTGTAAACAAGTCATGGCCCATAGGCCTGCCGTACCTGGCTCCCCGTTAAGTCTATATGTACACAATGCTTGTCTCTGAGGAATACATTGCGTATTACACATATTCTACTCGCTTTCATGGTAAAATCCAAATTTTGGCAAAATGGCTTTGTACAAGTTGCTAAATTGCTAATGGAATTTAACTAAAGAGAGAGAAAAGATTGAGATGGATTTCGCTCTAAAGGTATAATTAGTTTTATTTTTTATTTATATTTAAGTGCTGATGGGCGATCAAAACTCGATGTGATAGAGAAACCTGCTTTTGAAAATTTTTATAAAGTGGACCTTGGGAAGAAGACGACCCGATAGATCACCCGAACATCCGAAGCAGTAGTTCAGTGCACAGCCAGTAATGGGTGTCAGGTCAGTCCATCAGTACCAGATGCAGATGCTGCCCCGATGTGGGGCACAGAGGAAGCTCGAGAGGCTTTTTCAGACGGAAGACGTGCGCAGCCGCAGCCGCAGCCGCGAAACGCCGCGGCAAATGGTGGGCATCGGATCGTTGCGGCAATCGTCGGCATCTCGGATGGTTCAGATCCAGACTTGACCGCGTGCCGCTGCAGCAGCGCGCGGACGCGTGGCCTGTTCGCTTGCTGATGAGATAGTGTTGATTAATTTATGTGAGAAAAACCTGCTTCGTTGGTTGAAAAGTATGGTCGTTCGTTGGACGCGGAATTCGTTGGACGCGAACGTCAGAGTCCGAACAAACGTCACGTTGCCCTCATTTGCGTCTGTTGATAAAAGAAAAATATTTTTTTCTCAAGCCTTTTTGCGTGGAACGAACTAAGCGGTGAGTCCGCGACGTCGCCGCATCGAATCGTCAATTTAAATGGCTGTGTTTCTCTCTTTTCAAACACGGCTGTGTGACCTGAATGAAACGGAAAGAACATGACGCGTGCTTCTCTGATAGCCGTCTGATTGGAAACGGACGTGCCACGACGGTGGCAGATTTACGCGGGTAGGAAATTAGATCTCGACACAACGACCGCAGAAATCAGCAAAAATGGTAGGTCGACCATAATGTTTCTAGTATAACTTTACTTTAGCATTAGCACATGCGGTTTTTTTCCTTATAATAATATTATTATAATAGCAAAAAAATAAAGCGCAAAAACTTGGTAGAGGAGGCAGAGGGAACTCATGAAAGGTCAGTACGAGGCATCATCCTAGCCGTCCTTTGAGATGCAATTCCATATTACTTCGTTCGTAAGCTTTAAGCAATCGGGTTTCGGCGAAAATTAGGTGTAGGAAATGGCATGCCAGTTGGTAACTGCGCACGAGAGGAATGACCATCCCCTGCTTCCTCTTTTTTACCATCCTTTTTGAAAAAACCAGGGCTAAGGAACATATGCTGCGGCTGATTTCAACCACCACTAACTCTGCTCACCGTTCTTTTCGCAGTAAACAGTTCTTCCATTTTGGCAAGGAACATGAGTATGCTACTGTGACAGGGGTACGTGTCTCCGTTTTATCTAAGAAAACAAAATCTTGAAGGAATTGGTTTTCATTCAAGACTGCGGTGCTGTATCTTACTAATGTCTAGTTGTATTCCGTTGATTATATATAGAATTTCCATTGATGTTTTGTAATGATAACAAGTAATATGCTGGTCCTCATCAATCGCCTAAACAGCATCAGGTAGGGATTTGCGAGGTACTGCTCCATTAATTAATTGTTTAACAAATAAAGAGAATACTGTTGCTGCTGCTTTGGGCACTTTGTCGCCCTGTCCCCTTGTAATCATGTTGATGTGGAAAGACTGCGCAGCATGATGCCAAGACAAGTCCCTGTCTGTCAGGTCAGCACGCCGTGACCCGCCCTCTGATCTCCGAGATGCACACACCTAATTTATTAGGAGTTTGTATGCGTTGCCGCCTGGACCGGATGGACGATCGACGCGATGGATCAGCTGTCCAAGTCCGTTTTGCAAAGAACAAAGAGTTGTTCTCCGTTGACGCCACCCATCGTTGTTAACGACAACAATGATCTAGACATGCTCGACTAATCAGTACGCTAGTAGGTTAAGATGGATTAGTTTTGTTTTCTGAATACTCGTCTCCTTCCAGACGAACTGACGAAGGCAGCAGGAGACGCGAGAAGGGAGGGAAAATGCCCGCAGCCCCGAGGGGCCGTGCTGCGGTGCTGGTGAATTTGGCTTCCACTCCAGCGGGCGCGTGCTTTTGGGTCTCGGACGGGTGGTGGCGCCGTGACGGCTCGGTCACGCGGCGCATCATGGTTGTTCTCGTCGGATAATAAACAACGCTATTGCGCTATACAGCGGGGGCGCAAACACGAAATTCCAAAAAAAAAATTATTAACGTATATAGGGTTCTAAAGGCAACACGTGGAGAAATTCGTTTTGGAAGTTTGCTTCGATGAGTTGTAAAAAAAAACTTGTTAGATTTCGTCAATGCAGCGAACCATGCGATGTGTGTTATCCATGTGGACGTGATTAGTACTGGACGCTGATATTCCAATGTTTTTTTAAAGGTAAAATTCATTCAAAGCTTAAATACAGATTACAGAGATAAGACAAAAATTGTCCCATTGAAAGTTTTCCAGAGCCATCTGGATAGCATAGTTTCTAGAATGCGTACAAGATTGACAAGAGAACAAGCAAGAGCTAGGAATGGAAGTCTGTCTTGCTTTCTTTGCGAGATTATCAGCCACTGTATTTGTGTTTCTACCAATTCTACTAATAGAATGCATCATGTTTGCCGTGGTAACTGAAGAGTCTACTAGGATTGGGCGCAAAGACCAATGGCCCGGATTAAGAAGCAGGTCCTTTCTCTTGGACGCAGATGCCAACACTCAATTATCAGTGATAAAGACTGGCCTTTGAAGATTTTTTGCAACCACGAGTGTAGTTGCCAACAACAGTGCCAATGCTTCGGCCTCTAAGGGTGCAGGATACGT